GCTGGGTGGAATTCCATTGACTGTTCCTGATGCTTCCACTATGTCTTTGAAGTAAAAATCCTTTGGTGCTTTGAATAACTCTTGGCCCTGGAAGATTCTGAGGGATAAAAAAAGAAATGTGCAGAAGGGCCAGGTGTCTATAGCCAAGTAGAATGCTATCTGAGTCCTGGCTTCTGTAAAATACAATGTATATGTCTCTTAAACACTATGCAAAGTGAACAGTCATGGATGCCCCATCAAATAGAAAGGCATATAAGAGATCTTGTGGTGCTTGAATATGAGCTATTCTGCATTGGAACAGTTCAATAGCATAGAAATGCGTGACCTTTCAAAAATTACTGGGATTTCAAGTTTTGTAGAAGCAGGGAGTTTGTAAATATCAGCAGACATAACTTACTTTGGAAATCTAGACTGATACTTGTTACATGTCCTTCTGATGAAATCACAGAATCACAGAATGGTTTGGATTGGAAGGGACCCTAAATGTCATCTCATTCCAAACCCCCTTGCCATGGGTAGTAACATTTTCCACAGTACCAGGTTGTTCGGAGCCATATCCAGCATGGCTTTGCACACTTCTGAGGACAGGGCAACTACAGCTTCTCTGGGTAACCTGTGTCAGTGCCTCACAGTGAAGAATTTTTGGCTAATATTTATGTCCTTTGCCTGTTGTCCATCTGTAGCCCTGCAGCTGCAATGCAGCATCTCTCTGCCTGGTCCAGTTTTTCTCCTTTAATGATTTTTTTGTTACATCACCTGACTGTGAAGATGTGATAAACTAATATAAGCCTGTACAAGGTACACACAAAATCCCATCATTTATCAAACAATGAGGTCTTCTAAGGCTAAAATAAATGCCCAGACTTCTTCTTAATATATTGCCTATAATATATTCTATAGGTACAGAGCGACAGGTAGTGGCTGGTGGACCAGTTTCTTCCCCTGCTCAAGATGTCAGGCCAAAGGACAAAGCTGTGAGTACCAGCACGTTCCACAAGTTCCAGCAGGAGCTGCCCTCCTCTGAGCTTTCAGGCTCCAAATTAAGACATGTTAAAGTTCAAGCTGCTTTGCAGCCAGTGACTGAAGCTGCAAAAACTGAACCACAGAGCGGCTACTTCATTGACAAAGGAACTCAGACAAAAAAGTCCAGCAAAAGTGGGCAGTCGAGGCACAAAGCTCTGCATCACCCAGGGGCACAGCAGGGTCAGGAGCAGCAGCCCTCGGCCCCGCCTGCCGCTCCACTCAGAGACACCTCCCAGGCCTTGGAGATAACCCAGTACTTCTTCGAGGCTGTTTCCACGCAGATGGAGAAGTGGTACGAGCGGAAGATAGAAGAAGCCCGGAGCCAAGCGAACCAGAGAGCGCAGCAAGACAAAGCTGCGCTCAAGGAACACATCAAATGCTTAGAAGAGGAGCTGAGCAAATTAAGGACTAAGGTGCAGAAAGAGAGCTAGCACCTGCCAGGCAGGTAATCAAGCATCAGGACTCATTTTGGAACCTGCTGTATGGGAATTTGGAATATTGATATATATTTGTAGTGCCTGTTACATCCAAACACAACACACTATTTCAGGAATAGAAATAACTTCAGAAACTCTGTAAGCGAGGAGTTCATATGTTCATATGCAAACTACACTGATAACAAAGAAATGCTGCAGATTAGATCTTTCTTTGTTATTTCCAAGAGTCTGTCAGTATTGCACTCTCAAGTTTCCAGATGCTGCTTGAAACCAAACTGCATTAGTAACCAAAACTGCTTTCTGAAAAGGGAATTTCCTTACTACCACACAGGACACAGACTAGAGGGTTCTACTGTATGCCACATGTAGTAAACATGTTGTGATACTAGTATTGAAATAAATGCAGGATGTTTGATAGCTTTTGACAGAATTAGTGATGAAGGGCTGATGATCCTATTTTAGATACCCCCAGGGCCTCTCTCTAGTCAGTGGAGAGAAGCTAAAGAACCCACTCTAGTTACAAGCCCAAGGTAGGTGACAGATGCAGGCTTCCAGCTGGGAGAGAGCAGGCAACCATGGAGGGAGATGCTAAGGCCACTCATCCCATTAGGTACAGAGGCTTCAGCAACCACTTTGCTTTTCTCTTGGTTTTCCGTTATTAAAACAAGTGCTAAATCTGATTTGTCTTTTATTAACGGTGTCCTGCTTGCAGAGCTCCTTGTGGTTACACTATTGTTGGGGGTGTACTCCAGTAATCTGAGAGCTTCTGTTTAGGGCATGGATGGCAAGTATTTTACTGCAACTGTGGTCTATTTGTTAGGTTGAATGTTTATATAAATCTTTTTTCCTTCAAGCAGGAAATGGCTGAATTGTCTACTATTGAAGAAGCTTAAAAAAGTCCTTTATCTAAGGAAGTGAAAGCTTGGCTTCCTGTATTCAAATGTTTCTTTCTCTGTAGTCAGGATTTTTTCCCAGGCACTTTGTCCAGACTGTCTACTCTTGCTCCTCTGAATGGTTCCTCCTCTGGTTCTTTCCCTTGTGTCCCTAAAAAGGAGACCAGGCCCTGATGAGTCTGCAGGTTTCAGGACAAGCAGTCCCACAAAACAGCACTCAACATTTTAAAAGTTTTATCAATATGTTCTGCTATAAAATTTGGAACATTCATTGACCATGGTTGTCCATGTTGACAGACTCCAGATAATCTCAAGGCACTATAACTATTGCATCTGCACCCCTTTAGGGTTTTCTCCTTATACCTCTGAGAAGGCCCCACCAGATTCTGCTAGAAAAGTAAGTTTACTTACCAGATCATGCTAGAACAACTGTTCAAAATCAGTTCCAACACAGGATGGTACTGTTATGCCAAGGAGAAAAATACTTTTTTTCTGTACTAAGTTCTAAAATCAGTACAAAATACAGTGTTGAAGAACGCCATTCACTAATTAGTAATTAAGCTTTTGTCTTCTTAGCAGATGTATAAAGCAAAAAAGTCCTATTGTATAACAGTATTTTTAAAGTTCCTATTAATGCACTATCACAAGAGAAGTGTATCTGCAGCTATGGAAATACTAGTTTTCTTGCTCTGACTTCTGTAGTCTAATATAGACACTTTGGTATGTTTACAGTTTTGTTTAAGCTACAGTAGGAATGCAGAAGCATGCTGTTGAAGTTTTGTATCACCTGGATGAAGCTGATGTTTTGCCAAGCAATTAAACTAAGTGTTGCTCAGAAATGTGTGGTGTAACATTTTCTAGCCACAAAAAACTGACACAGTCCCCTCACTTGACTCAGAAGGGGGAACAGAAGATAGAACTTCAACTTCTAAGCTTTGTGTTTGTGGTTATGTAACACCTCCCCATCTGTGAGGCTGCAGGTACTGAGTGCTGTTGGCTGGTGCAAGTGCCCCTTTCAGAAGTTACAAGCGTGGGGCTGAGTTGCACACAAATCACACACACACTCTCCTTAGCTTGCCCACAAGCTCAAAGGAGAGGCTCTGGCTTTAGCTCTACTTCCCATATAGACCACACTCATAGGTCCAAGTAATTTAAGTAAATCCAAGTAATTACCAAGTAATCTAAGGTAATAACCAGGCTGCAGGTTACTGATTTTAGAGGTTTTCTGAAGCCTCTGAGTGTATGGTAAAAGAAAGAGAAGCATTTTCTGCTAAATCCTTTCTGTACCCCTCCCTTCTTCAAAACTGAAGGACTTTATAATATAAACAGGTGTGATCTACCTACCTTTTTCTTCAGCTAATTTTAGTTACCTTTGCAGGCTGTACTTGGACTCTTTAAGGCTTCTGGTTGGCAGCTTTATCTTGGCAAGCCTTCAGAGCAGTGGAGATGAAGGGCAGCAGCACTCAAGAGGTTAGCATCTGTCCAGGACCCGTCAATCCTAGCTCTGGATTACATGTTGACAACCTGGAAATGTACAAACTGGGAGTCAAAGGGGTAATGCAGGCCACAGGCTCTGAAAGAAAAGTACCATGGTGAGGCAGCAGGGTAAAGCCACCTGATCGAGGAGCAGAAATCCAAGCACTGGCTGAAGGGGAAGGGAAGGCTACTGTGGTAACAGCCAACATTGGTTATGGCTGTTCAGTCAAAATACCTCATATAAAAATATACCTAAGTACAAAAAAAAAATCAAAACAAACAACCCTAAATACAAAATTCTCTTAACATGAAGAATAAATCCCCAACACAAAAATGTTCTGTCAGTCTGTTCTACTAGCAAATGTTAACAAAATGTAAATTTTTAATGAAGTGTTTTTAGGTAAGTATTTTTCATTGACTGATTGAAGCTCAGAGGCTTCACAGATCTGAACCATAGCTCCTGCTCCCAGCTGGGGTCATTCCTCCTGTAGCCTGGAATTCCGTCCTGTGCCTTCCCTGGTGCCAGTGGTGATACCTAGTTACTGGACTTGCTGCCAGTTTGTGCAGCTCAGCAACTCTGCAGAAAACCACCTTGAAAAGCAGGGGTGTTCCCTAATGGAACTACAGTAGCAGAGTGGAAGAGGGAAGACTTCTTGCACGTCTTGGAATCACAGCCTAAAACAGTCAGGCATCAATCTACTGCTACCTGTCTGGTTATGTGGAGCAAATCCCCAGCTCATCCAGGCATTTTTAAATTATATGGAAAAAAAAGATACATCACAGCTTGAGGAAAGTGAGAACAGTTGCAAGCTAATAATTAGAAGTGAAGTAGTATAACATCTGAATAAACAAACCACAACTTTTGCAGTTAGTATTTTCTACCTGTAATTCTTCTTTGTATATTGACTTTTAAATACTAATTTGAAGGTACTTGGTAATAAACATCTCTGGGGCTAAAATCTCCCACTTTCATAAATAAGTTTTATTCAGCTACTACTGAAAATCAACATCTACATGCAAAACATTTCTTTAATGTTTGTTCTGGGCCAATTTATTTATCCCAAATTCTTTTTTTAATCACAAATTTGGGTGAAAATCCTTGGCACACTACATAAAGAGCTGTCATTGTGAATATTACCAATTACAGCCAACACAGTAAAACACAGACAAAATAATCTAGTATATATTTATTTTCCATTGCACTAGCATTAACACAGCTGTTGTAATTTTTGGTACTTTCTGCTTTTCCTGCAGCACATGCTATATCATCCATGCAGTTCTTACATGTCCTTTGTGATCCAAGTGATTTCCACTTCTGATGGTACCCAAAATGATAAATGGATGGGGAAGGGGAGAAAACCAAAGCCCCAGTGTGGTAGATTCCTCCTTCAAACATTACCAGGTTGCCAGAAAATGCTGCCATTATAAGCACATTTTGGAAAAAACACTGTTTATTTACAACAGATGAAAATCTAATTGCCAACAAAATGAAGATCAGGATTTTGCCAGCTTAAGTGTTCTCTGAAGTTCCTGAAGTTGCATGTTGCCTTGAGTAATCATCATCCTGATTGCATCCTGTAAAACAGAATGGAATCTAATGAACTGTACATCCATACACAGCACAGGTTTCACACAAGTATGCAGACTTTTAATGCATTAAAATACATAGAATTCTTACAGGCACTACTGTCTTTTATTTCATTGTGTAAAATAACAGTGCTGTCTCTGAGACAGTTGAAAAACAGGTTCTGTTTAATAGATTAATTTTCTCCAGTTTCTTAACAATGTACTTGGTAATGGCTTTGCTTTAAAACTCACTTTTTAATGGGATTCAAACTCCTAAGCTTTGTCTGCATAATTCAGCCACCAATTCCTTGGCTGCTGGCTAGAAAAGGGAAAGAACTAGAATGCAGAGAACAGGAGACATACAAAAAAAAATGAAGGTTTGTGCTTTTTGCACTTGCTTTGCATCCCAAACCAGCCCATTTGATTTTATTTTGCTTGAAAACAGGTGAAATTAAAGCTAAAAAGAAGAAAAAACCTATAAAAAGCTTAACCAAGTTTATGTTTCTATATTATTCGATTCTGCTCTCCTTATCTGCGATTTGAGCAAGCAGAGTATTTGTTTTTTGGGTTTTTATTTCCAGATTATTGTCTGTGATTTTGAGAAACATTACTACTGCTAAGAGGGAAGTTTAGTCATGCTGGATTATTTCTTCGCATAGATGAGGCAGCAGGAGTTCTCACCAGTCTGGAAGCGACACCTACAGAACAAACCCCCAAGACACAGGGCAGGACAGTGCAGTGACTATTCCCGAGGGCAGGCGATCACAGGTGCGGGTTCCCGATCCTCACCTCTTCTGTAGCATCCTTATTTCTCCTGAATTCCTCCCTGGCCCAGTCCTTTAAGTAGCGGCGATCCTGCTCCGCAGGGACCTCCCGGATAGCCCGCAGGATCTTGCGGTACAGCTGAAGGACCTGCTGCCGCCTCAGGAACTGGCAAGGAGAGAGGGAAGTCTGCCCGCTGCCCCACGACAATGCTGCGAGCTGCACCCTCGGCGCTTAGCTTCGAGGGATATTTAAACAACCACCGAGTTACCCATCGTTTCTACAGGACGCAGCTTGCCCGAACCCCCGAGCTCGGCCATACCTGCTTGAGGGTGAGCGCCCCCGGCGGGAGGCGGCCGGCGGCCATGACGCGGCTCCGCCCCTTCCCCTGCCCAGCCACGGGGCCGTCGAGCCCGCCCCGCGCGGGCGGGGCCGAGGCCGCCATTTCCTGCCTCATCCCCGCTTTCAGGGCTGGGTAGGGCCGGTCGCTTTGCTTAAGCTTTGATCAATTCAAGGCACAGACGTCGTAATTACAAAGAGTGGTACCTCTCTTTATTAGTACAGACGATACAAGATGCATAGGTTTTGCAATGAAAAATCGTGCCTGTGCTACAAGACACCGGACTTATGAAACATCCCCAAAGCCTGCCTCGGACAGGGGCAAACTTCACAGTGTAAAGGGCAGGGATCATATGGCATGATTCAGAAAACTCCCTGCTGCTATCATCAGGCAAAAATCAGCAATAATTAAAGAGGCTGTATTAAAACTGCAGAATAGTTTCAAGTATTCAAGTACTTGTTGTTGATTAAAACCATCTGACTCTGCTGCTCCCCACAGCTTCCTTCCCAGAGGCACCTCCACATGGGTGATGCTGAAGAAGGCATTATTTGCAACTTCTAATGTCTTCCCAGGAACAAGACTGGTTTTACTTACGGCATGGAGGGAGCAGCAGGAGTAATATCACCTCTATTAATATTAGAAATGTGTTGTTTTTTTTTTCTTTAAAGGCAGCAAATTATTACAAGAGAATTTTTACAGTTACTGTGGGAATAGCAGGAGACAGTCTCACCATTGCATAATTGTCCTCTGACACGTGGGAGGATGCACCCAAACCATTCTGTTCTTTCACAGTCTCTGCCCCCCCAGGGCAGCTCCCACAGGATAGTCCCAGTCAGGAAGAGCTTTATGACCCCTCCCATGAAATGCAGTTTCTTCTATTTCAGCAGTTCAGCAGCAGCAATCGAGTCCTGACCGTGTCTAAAAAAGTCTAAAGACTGTCGGAGGCAGTCACCAGTTCAAACCACTGTCTGAGGGCATCACTCAGAGTTTCTGGGAGGGCGTTAACATCTCTAAGGATCATGTAGAACGGGAATGGGAATTCTTCCATGTAAGACCTGATTTCAGGCAATTCTCCAGGTCCTTTGAATATAGGTACTTTAATGTCCAAAATAGAATCCTGGAAAAAAACATATTGATGTTACTACTAAATGACACAAATATTCTATGATCACTGATAGAATTTACCCTATTTTATAAGTACTTACATTTCTCCCTCGTTAGATTAAAAGTTAATAAAATACTTCTAAGATTAAAAGCTCTAAGTGTTCAATGGTAAATCAGATCAGAAGGTGAACATAAATCAGTTAAACTCTTTTGCCCTTTTAGATAAAAGTGTACTAATCCATGAATTATGGGCTAGAAGAGACTAAGCTTAAGCTTCTGCAATACCAAATTCTGTAAATAAATTCTGTCATTTCTTAGCATTTTATGATTTGGTTTTACTGTTGACACTTTAGTTTTATTAATTTGATGCCTTCCCAAGACAGTCTGTAAGCTCTTTAGTGCTGAGTTCAACTCATATTTGTGCAGTGTTCTAATAGAAGATTCTTTAGCAACTTCATAGTATTTCAATGAATAGTACAAAGACAAAAATCAGATTAAACTCCAGCTGTGCTTCTTGTAAAGTAACTTCTTAGTTGCTCAGTGTAGCAGCTCAGAAACTAATAAGGGTTACAAAAAACACCTGTTTTCCCCCAGGAAAAGAAGCTTATGAAAAAGAACAAAATTTTTGCTTGAGACTACAGCCAGGTTTCATTAGAACCTTTAAGCTGTTTGACAGGAGAACTGTTCAACAATAAATATAGCAAATGAGTTTTGTATGTAAGAATAAAGATACAGGAAGAAAACACGAACCATAAAATTAAGAGTCTTTTACCACATAATTCACTATCAGGCTTATGTTTGCTCACTTACTGCACTACAGAGCCTCCTGAAACCCTCCCAGATATTTCAGCTTCCCATGCAAGGATATCCAAAGTTTTCTTCCCCCATTACCAGATGCAGGACTCAGCCTTCCCAACTGAGGCACTAAATAACTCTCACATACTCCCTTCTGTCTAATGTTTAATCTTCTACTGGCTCCAGCTGTCATGTCAATTGGCGACTGCTGTCAGAAATTATCAAGCTGAATCAGAGCTGAGATGGAACAAAGCATCTCTCAAACTCCAAATCTGTCAACCTGCCAGCTGCTTCCCTGGTGGCCAAGAACTACAAGCATTCCGTTTGAAGATGGGAGCTCTTAGCCTTTCTGTGGCATGGAAGCTGAGATTTTTTTTTAAAATACAAAAGATAAAAAGCACGGTAGGAAGTGGCAGATCTGACAGACCTGGGAAACTGCAATTTGGTTCAGTATCTCTGACCTCTATAAAAGATAAGGTAGCTGTATGGCACTATAAAAGACAAGAAAAAGATTTGTATCGGTTTCTCATTCACTACAGTTGAATACTTCTCCCTTGTTCACTTACCCGGGAATTAGGGTTGTCCAACACTACGAAAATAACAAAGATATTGGCATTCCGAGCTGCTTGAACTGCTGCTGTCACCCGTTCCTTGCCTTCCAAGAAAAGGCCTCTTCCATCAGACACAATCAAAAGCAGCTGTGCTGTTTCTGAGCACAAAGAACATTTAAAATTCCACTAAGTTCAGAGTAATCTGTTTAAAAAGCAAACCCCCCTATTTTGCTGTTTGCCCTTGGGGTATAATCGAAAAAGGAGTATTCCTAAGGAAATTAACTATTAATCAAATAAAATTCTGTGACTTAACATTATGCTGCAGTTACTAGTGGGTCAACAAAGCAAGTAATGGAGGGAAGGGGGTGTCACACAACACACAGATGACTCCACCATCTATTAGTACTATAATCAAGGATGAAAGTCATGGAAAATACCACACAGACTTGGTCATGGCCTTGTTTTTCATGCCTAGGGGTTAAATACTGGCAGAATTACAAGAGTCCAGCCACTAGCTCAAGACAGCTCCAGCTACTACAATGGAAAAAGAGCTCAAATCAGTTCCCCTAGAAGCAGGTACCTATGGGTCCATCTGTAGACTTTTCTCTGGTGTCCCCACTTTAACAGCTTGGCTTCTATCAGAGAACATTCCTGGATGGCCCCAAAATGGGTTGTTTTTGGAAGAAACTAAATCAGAAGATAGGCTCGGACGCACAGTCAAGGCAGTCCGATTAGTCTGAAGTAAACCTCCTGAAACATCAGGATAGCACCCATGTTGGGTTCCTTAGCACCAACCATTTCTAGAGACATAGTAGTTGACTCAAGTTGCTCCTAGAGTCAGATACATTCCTCTAGAAGTACATTCTAGGTTATGTACCTGTCATCCTTTAATTACACATAAAATCACAGTAATTACAGTCAGGAATGCAAATCCTAATTGTTACAAAGGGATGCAGAGCACCTTTCTGCAGACAGGCCCCAAATGTGACAGGGCTTTTTTACAGAAGGAGGTGATGAATCCTACAGCCTTTTGTCTTGCCAGTTCCCTAACCCTAAGGAGCTGATTACTGCTGCATCCCTGCCTAGTTTAACTGAATGGGATGCTGCTCCCCCTCAGAATAATGTGACATCCTGGTGGCAAAGCAGCTGTGGATTATAAATCCCAGACTGCCCAGTTCTTGGAATACTTCAACAACAAGACAGTAAATTTTTAGATTTTTTTTTTAAAAATAAAAAACATAGGTGCCACCATGACAAGCTTTTAACTATCAGAGAGATCTTTTAGACTTAACTATGGGGCAGACACAAGGCAAGCAGTCTTCCAGCTTTTCTTGGAAATTCAAGCAGCTCGTGACCTAAAGTTGCAGGACAGTGAAAGGCAGGTAGGAGGCAAATTCCCTCCTCAGAGCAGCATGCTTCTGGATACCTTGAGAACTCAAGCTCTCAAGAAGGAGCAGAAATATCTAGAGAGTCAGGGACTTTAGGAAACTGGACAATGCTCTAAGCTGGCACTGTCTAGGCCTTAACACAGTCTGCAAGTGGGAGGTAAAGGGAGACAGGTAAGGCACGCCTTTTTAAAAAGTCTTACACAAAATTTTAGTGAGTTGTTGACAAATATGAAGTAGGTATCATTTGGGTTTTGAGCTAAATTTCGACCAAACATTGCTTTTAACAAAGCAAAACCCAAAGCTCTAATGCAAGTGATGCTTCAGTCCTAGGAGTCTTCCCGGCATGATCCTACTTTGGAATTGCAGACAGCATTCTGCTGCCATGGCAACAAGCACAGTAACACAAAAACACTCACCCGGATTAATATTTTGAGACAACTGCTGTGCTGCAGCAAACATATTTGCTGACGATTCTAGAAACTGCAGAGGAAATAAAAATTAAAACATTTCTAAAGAACACCTTTCTCTGTTTTAAATGCTTAGACAGCCTGACCACCTAACACAGATACAGTTCTTGGCATTTTCCTGTATTAACTCCTGCTTTAAATTTATGAAGTACTTTTGAACTAAAGAATCTTCAGAGAGTCTTCAAACAGAATTTATTTTTTCCCAGTGCTAGCAAAGCTATCAACACTGCCAATGAGATTAGTGGCATCATTGAAAATATACATCCTATTTCTAGGTTGAACTTCTTTGGTTTCAGCTTGAAACAGAATTATCTAGTCTCATACTCCCCATAAAAATTAAGAACATCATCAGGATACAAAATACTTTTGTATTGACCCAATACAGAGAAAAGTGAATGCTTAAAAGTGGTATACATCAGAACTAAAAGTGAGAAACCATTCTTCCTGTTACCAAATTATGGCCATTTTTTTCCTTTGTTATCTAACCTGCTATCAGACTCTCAAATACAAAAAAAACCCTATTTGGTGTTACAAAGTCATCATGAAACCATGAAGCTGCTGATATCTTGGAAAAGACTGGTAAACCTGTTGCCCTAGAGGCATTCCTGTGTACCTGGGCTATTTTTGTTTTCTTCTGCTGAAACTTGCAAAGACGCAATATCCGTGTCCCTGACTGGTCACTGAACTGCTCATGGAATGGGTGCAGCAGCTGAACAGTCTCTCCAAAGCTTCAGAAAAGAAGAGAAAATTACAGCATGAAAA